TCAATTTTGCTCCTAATCCCAAATGCAGCCTTGCAGGGAACCGCGAGCCAGAAAGAACTGTGGACCCATCCTGACATAGGATGTACACCAAAGACTTTTAAGCCAGCAGTTAGAACATCTCTACTACGAGCCTGTATCAAGAACTGGGTGATTTGATGCATGTAATATATTATTCTTTAGCAACCTTACACTCATGCTTTTCTTTCTTTTAATAATAAACCTTTAGATTTTGGATTCTAAAGGATTGGCTCAGCGTAAACTTGTGGATAAGATCCAGAGTGTAAATTATCCTGGGAACTGTGGCTGGTTTCTTGGGACCGGAAGAACCCATTTGGGGTAGGTGAGATCGGGTTCTATAACCCCTCATCTGTGTGTTAAGCCTGGGGCTGATTGGAGTATAGGAAGAGCTGGAGTGTCTGAGGGGTTTTGCTTCTAAGACTTCTGGCTGGCCAGATCAGCAGCTGAAGCACTCGGTGTGACTGGTTTGTGGCCTGTTTGGGAAGGTCTCCAGTCTGGGGCAGTAAGGAGCCCCGAGGCTGAGCAATTTGCCCTGAGCGGACACCCTCAGCTGTGCCCAGACCCAGCCCGGTCCGTCACAGTGAGTATGTTGCAGCCCATTCTCCCTTACTATCTCCAGTTGTGTCTCATCCTAATTGCCCTAATGTCTCTGCAATATTGGTTTCTATAGTCACAATTTAGATAGAAGGCAGTGCAAAACAGTGAGCATGACTCATCATCCTTATAAGTAGATTAAAGAGCTTATTTTGTTTTTTTGCTCTTGCTGCCAGGAATCCAGTGCTTCCCACAGTTCTCTATGATCTTCTGCTCCCTTGTATATAGTGGAGGCACCAAAACAAAGAGATCAGAAAGTGACTAAGTAAAAATATTTTCCAAATCAATTATTGTACAACCCTCTGCATAATGTTCAACTAAAGCCATTATGATTTTGCACGCAGAATCCAGTATTCCTCTATCGTGGCTTTAAACATCTTGGCTGTGTCTACACTGGGCCACTTATTCCGGAAAATCAGCAGCTTTTCCGGAATAAGCTGCGAGCTGTCTACACTGGCCCTTGAATTTCCAGAAAAGCAATGACGCTCTACTGTACAAAATCAGCCGCTATTCCGGAAAAACTATTCTGCTCCCGCTTGGGCATAAGTCCTTATTCCGGAACACTGTTCCGGAAAAGGGCCAGTGTAGACAGCCCAGTAGTCTTTTCCGGAAAAAAGCCCCGATCGCGAAAATGGCGATCGGGGCTCTTTTCTGGAAAAGCGCGTCTACATTGGCCACAGACGCTTTTCCGGAAAAAGGGCTTTTCCGGAAAAGCAGCCTGTCAATGTAGACACTCCTTTTCCGGAAAAACTGAAAACGGAATAGTATTCCGTTTTAAGCAGTTCCGGAAATTCATGCCAGTGTAGACACAGCCATAGAGTGGGCACAGAAGGAAGTGGCCTTTCAATGTACATAGTTTTAATCAGATGTCAGATAATTGTTCATATCCATAGTAGGCACAATTGAAAAAACATCACAAATACATAGGATATGCTCTTTGCAAAGAAGTAGTATTTGCTTTGAATGTCCTTTCTGGTACTTGTAATTGTTCCCAAGTCAATTCTTAAAATTCTTAAAAGAAAACATTCTTACCTAACATATTCCCAGCTCTCTGACTCCTACTCTGTAACTTATAGTCTTCTGAAATTTCAAGTGTACTTTGGATGCCATACAAGTAGGACATGCATGTTTACAGTGAAGGGTAGCTCTTGTGATAAATTAATACCGATATTGAATTCTAAGCTGCTCAGCTAAGTGAGTTTGTAAAATCATCATCAGGACAGGAGGAGGAGCGCCTTGTTTGACATGTGGATTTGCTTGTCTTTCCAAGTTACACGGGTGCTCCAAGACTCTCTTTGTACATACAGCCAGATTCACAAAAGAATGTAGTTGTTACACCCTTAGGGGCCCTGTCTAGCTGCCTAGTGGAATTCTCAGTCCTGAATTAGGTGCCCTGCCTCCCTCTACAATGCCTGGGGAGACAGGCGATTCGTGGCAGCACTCAGGAAGTACACCACTCCTCTGTGCCCCTGCCAAAATTTTAATTGTTAAATGTGGTGCCTCCTCATGCCCCCTCCCTGTTCCTCTGCTCGGCCCTCTCAGCATCCCCTCCCTCTGCTGGCACCACTTGCCTGTGCAGGGGGAGAGTTAGGTGTCTAAAAAGGGATTCTCAGAAACTGAGCAGAGATCCACTTAAGCTAGCTAGGAATAAAGTGCAGATGAAAGTGTTGGGGTTAAGGATGTAAAATCCTGTTTAATTGGTGAACAAGTTAACCACTTATGGGGGGTGCTCCAGCCTGGCCCAGACCAGTCCCTACCTGCAGCCCACCTGGGCCTGCCGCAGACAGGGACAACCCCAGACACCCAGACCAGCACGTCTGCAGCAGATCCCGTGGTGCTGATGAGTTGAAACCCTCCCATGGAGTTAGGCACCTAAGCCCAGTCAGCCCCCCTTGTGAAAAATCCTGCTCTGTTTGTTTTGGAGCAGGGACTTCCTGAACCCACATCACAGCTGAGTGCCCTAACCACCAGGCCATGTAGCTATTCTGGGACACACACTCCTGCTCCATCTCTGTGTTTTATGCAGCGCCTAATCTCTAGGTGTGCTGTGAGAATGCCTAAACCATCAGGCTCCACTTATGAGATAGGTGAGGCCAATCCTCAGCAGCACCCAGACCGTGGCATGCCCCCCTCCCAGCCGTCAGAGCCACACAGAGCATTTGAAGCGGCACTCTGGCAGTGATGCAAAGGGGCCTGGCCTCTTAGTTGCCACTGCTGCCAGTTAGGTTTTTTGCCCCCACTGTTCCCCTTGGGAGGCTGCTCCAGAACTTCAGTCCTCTGATGGTTAGAAACCTTCCTCTAATTTCAAGCCTAAACTTCTTGATGTATGTACATGTATTTTGGCTGGGTCCCTCACTGCTGCTTATCCTAAATAACTCCTGTCCCCCCCCCCATATTTATTCCTCTATTTATACAGAGTCATCACATCTCCACTCAACCTGCTGTTGGTTAGACTGAACAAGCCAAGCTCTTCGAGTCTCCTATCATAAGATAGGTTTTCCATTCCTCAGATCATCCTAGTAGTCCTTTTCTGAACCCAGACCAGTTTGAAGTCATCTTTCTTAAACATAGGAAACCAGAAGCGCACACAGTATTCCAGTTGAAGTCTCACCTGTGGCTGGTATAATGTCTAACACTTCCCTGTCTACTGGAAATGCCTTACCTGATGCAACCCAGGACTGCATTAGCCTTTTCACAGCCGTATCACATTGATTGCTCAGTCATCTTGTGATCAACCAATTCCCTCAACTTTCTTCTCCACTGTCACTTCTAACTGACAAGTCCTCAGCTTTCTGGAAAAATTCTTGTTAGTCCTTAAATACATGGCCTTGCACTTTGCACTATTAAATATCATCCCATTTTTATGACTCCAGTTTACAAGGATTGTATGATATTCTGGTCCTCTTCTGTATTGACAATACCTCCTAACTTCGTGTCATCGGCAAGTTCTATTAGCACATTCCCACTTTTTGCGCCATGGTCAGTTATTAAAAATGTTAAATAAGATTGGTCTTGAGACTAATCCCTAAGGAAATCCACTACTAACCTTCCTCTAATCTAGCCTGAGAGTTCACCTTACAGTATGACATGTGGGAGTCTTCCTTTTAATCAGTTCCTTATCCACCTTTCGGTTCTCATATTAATCCCCATGGGTATGTCTACACTACCCCGCTAGTTCGAACTAGGAGGGTAGTGTAGACATACCCCATCTTTTGCAATTTAACTAATCATTTCTCACATGAGTCTGTATTAAATGCCTCATTGATGTACAGGTAGATTAGATTCACCACATTTCCTTTGTCTAAAAAATCAGTAATCTTCTCAAAGATATTACAGGTTGCACCTCTATAAACTGGGACTCTCTGCTCCAGCAAAATCCATGGTCCAGCAGGACCATGTATGTTGTAGGATCAGAGAGTCCGGACATGGTGCAGGGAGTGGGGGGTCTGAGAGCCCTGTGCATTGCCCAGCTGTGCTGCCAGGGGGGGCAGGAGCTGGCGCATGGCTCAGCGGGGCTCAGGGGGTGGGAAATGGGAAGGTTGGTGTGTAGTGCAGCTGGGCAGTAGAAGGGGTGGGAAGCCCAGCATATGAGACCCAGCTGAGCTGCCCAGGGGAGCCAGGGAGCCCGGTGCATGGTCCATTTGTGGGGGATGGAGGATGGGAAGAAGCCCCGCACATCACCCAGCTGGGCTTCTGAGGGAACTGGGAATCCAGGTGGGGCAGCATGGCAGGGGGTGGGGCCAGCAGCAGCGGAGCCAGAAGTGATCACCCTGGTCCTGCAAAATCCCTCATCTGGAACCAAACAGGTCCCAAGAGCAAGACCAGGCTGGTACAACCTGTAATAACTTTGTTACCTTTTCCTAAATACAACAATTTAGGCTACTTATTTTTTGCAACTCACCAAGCTTGGAACAGGTCCTTTGATTTTAGGAAACATTCTAACAGCCCTTTCTTATCTTAATCACTTGTTGATCATTCTGTATATAAACAAAATTCTGACTCTCTGTCCTGAGGGTGCAAACTGGGAACCCCACATCTAGTCTCCGCTGTAGATCTTATTGCATTGCATATGCAGGCTCCCTGCACCTGAGGCTTGCAGTTTGGGTGACGGGCATTACCCTACTCTGCCAATGTAAGAAACTACAGTATCTGGAAAGAAAGCGCTATCTCCTCCTGGGAATATTAAGATAAGGATGTGCGTGACGGGGCAGCCCCGCTCGCGGCGGGGGCCCCCTCCCAAGCCGCACTGTACAGCGGGAGGCCGTGCGCCGCCCAGCTCTGCCCGCGGTGTTCAGCGGCAGCGCAGAGCGCGCCGGCCTTAGGCATGCCGGATGACGTCATCCGGGCGCCATGGAGACAGGAGTCGCGTTGCCCTGGCAACTAAAGGACGCCCCATCACGAGGGGCGGGACTGCCGCAGGACGCCGGGGTCACGACCCCGGCGCCAACTTTAAAATGGCCCCGCAGCACCGAGACAAGGGGGAGTGAAGGAGCTGAGCGGACCGCCCCGGTCGACGGGAGGAGCGGCCCAGCGGCAGCAGTACTCAGCCCGGTGAGCGGTTGGACCAGACAGCTGGGTGTCGGGGAACACCGGAGCCGGAGGGGAAGGAAGCAGCCTAGTGCAGAGTCAGGATTGACTGGTGGGCTGACGCGTTAAGGGGTCGCACCCCGTCAGCCGGGTTTGGGGCAATTGAACCAGAACCCTTAGGGCCGTGGGCTGGGGCCCGTGAGAGTGGGCGGGCCCGGGCCCCCCTTCCCCTCCCGCCTTGCTAGGGAGTGGGAAAACGAAGATAAACGCGCAAAGAGGGGAAACTGTGGGACTCGGAGCTCTAGGACAGTAGAGAGCCCTCGGGACAAATGCTGCGGGGTGGCCTGGGGCGTCACAATGTGATTACAGACAAGGATGTGATTACAGAATCTTGGCTTGATCCCATAACGTGTGAAGTCCTACAAGAGCTGAGAATGTTCAACATCTTTCATGATGAAACCCTCTTTGAGAAATAACTATGTAATGTCCGATCTGGCAGTCAATGACTGATTTAAGTGGGGGGTCAAGCTTTGTCCATTGTGAGCTATTTCAAAGATTTTTGTCACTTGGCTGCCAGGTTTACTTCTGGTTATTCCCTATGGACTATGGGAATTGGACTATGGGAATTGGATGATGAACACATTTGTAATTTAACATAGGGGCCTGTGAAAACATGTTGAAAGTGTTTGCTCTTTTTATATTGATTAAGGATAGGTAGGTAGCATAGGGAAGAAGGAGAAAAGAGTGTAGAAAACTTTTGTGGAGGTTGTTTTTGATATCTACATACCTTTTACTGGGATTATTTTCTTGTATGTTATAGAAGTTGAAATTGATATGTTGGGATTTCAGGTGATTTTGTTAAATCTGACAATCTGGAAAAAGGTGGCCTTGAAAGGGAATATTCTGGTTATTTGTCTCTGTGCAGTTTCAGAAAACCAAAGCAGAATTTGTCTGAAGGCGTTGGAAAATCAGAACTGTTAGATAAACAAACGGAGCAGAGACAAGAGCTCTGTGTTGAATTTGTTTTGGCAGTGATCATATCTGAGCCATTGAAAGCTGTTCACTGAAATTCAGGCAGTCAACATCCTGGATATCTAATTGCTGTTCCTGATAATGGAAGAACCATGAGGGAGAAAAATGGTTAGGTGTGAGCCTATATAAAGGCTTGTGCTGATTCACTTGTAAGCATGTGAATAATCCCATTGAAGTTAGTGGGTCTATATACATAGTTAGAAATCAGTGCATAACTCTGCAGGCTCCATGCCCCATGCAACATTAAGCAGTGAAGATTTATAAAAAATAAATCTTGCCAAGCCAATGAGCTTCTCTATTTTGTTAGAATCAAAAATTAGTGAATAAGAGAATCAAGTAAATGAAATGCATTGACCTAGCAAAACATATTGTAGTGTTTAACAGGGTAGATCCTATTAAATCGTGGATTAAAAATAATAATTCATATTGTTTTGGAGAGGAATACAGTTACATGGAATAACAACTGAGAAAAAAAGGTTTGGTCTTACCTAATATCTTCATCAATGTTCTCAATGTGTGAGGGAGTGTGTACTGCCCTTTTAAGGAACAGGCTGGAGCCTGTAGCTTGGAATAATCAAAGAGGCCCTGAATCCCACCTTGCGGTGGAGCGAAAGAGCAACAGGGGCAGGAGAGGTAGTAGTAATTGTGCAGGCTGCAGCAGGTAGTGGTTGCTTTTTAGTTTTGGGCTCTAGGAAACCAGCCTAACCCAAGGCTTTCTTTTAAGGACTTGTGAGCTCACAACTATGGTCTGAAATGAGGATCTTAACAAAGTATATACAGGCAGTCCCTGGGTTACGTGGATCCGACTTACGTTGGATCCCTACTTAAGAACAGAGTGAGGGAACCCCGAACGAGCTGCACCCGCCCCCCCCAGCAGACCGCTGAGACGCGCTGCGGCGGTCCCGCTGCCCGCGTCCTCCGCAGCGAGAAAAGCTGCTCCGCGTCTCCCTGGTCTGCTGGGGG